TTGAGAGAATTTTCCGATCGTCGCTTCAGCTTCTCTCAGAATACGCACGATATGACCTTGGTAGCGGGTCTCACCCTGTGGCTGAGGATCAGGGATCCGGAGGAGATGCCGCCGGCTTTAGCGGTCATCTCATTGTGCGACGCACTACGATGGCGGACGACTAGTCGCTTGGAAGATGAAGCAGTATGCATTGCGATCCTACTTGGAAAAGACCCAGAGAAGGTGTTGAAGGCTCCGAAGAATGAGCGCATGATCGTACTGTACGACATGTTGGGTACTATTCCGAAGCCATTCCTGACTCTGTCTGGAGATAGATTGAGCCAGAAGGGCTATCGGTGGGCGCCAAGATCGCTTTTAGGTTCCAAGAACACGCATTGGCTTTGGGAGCAGCGAATCTGGTACAGACAAGTGCTGGCTCTACATGCGGCAGGGAAAGATCCCGGGAGTGACATGACTGCGAAACTCATGCCAAATGATGGCCTGCATGTAGTGGCTCCGGGCTTCCAGGTCATAGCAAAACTCCCTAAAAATACGGTCGCCATAGGGCCAAACTTCTGGATCTTCCAGATTACTAACACCGACGAGTATGGGCGAGGTGAGGAGCCGATCGTCAATACTCAGGAAGCTCACTCTGTGGATTTTGGCGAGGATGTGGATGGTATGCCAGAAACGTTGCATGGCTACGACAAGGCATGGATCGTGTTAGTCGGAGATCCAGACAGAAACTTCGAGGTCGGTGACACATACTCTGCAACAGCAGGGATTCTAGTCGTTCCCGACGTTACCGATGCCCAGCAGCAGGATTCTAGCTTTAGGTGCCGATACTACTGTAGGGTGACAGTGAGAAGACAAGCGCAATTCAGGAGCTTTCAAATTGCTGAGCAGTGGCTCAACAATCTGGAGCACCCAGTTTTGGCGGGTATTCGTCTCCAAAAGATGAGCTGGGTCATTTTCTGAAAGCCTCGGAGTATTGAAATTGCATGGAGGACGCATCCCTTCTATCAGGTTCAATTTTTGCTCTTCCCGTCCCCTTCAAACATCCAACGGTCACGATCCAAGCTCAGCACCTTCCGCTCTAGACTCGCATCTAATACCGCCTTCAATGTGCTGTGCGGGTCTGATGACACTGTCAGTATTCCTCACTCTGTGTGTGGTCGGTGTGAGAACGACTTACCGCCATGAGGCCAATGCTCAAAAGGTATGCGTTGTGTAGCATGTTGATCCCTAGCATACACATGTTGGGCGCATAGCTCAATCATCTGGTTTTCTTGCTCTGCGCTAACTGTCAGCCCATACTCTACATGCCAATCCAATATATAGCGGTCATGATTGTTCTAGATACCACGACCCTGCTTCTGGCGTACTCTGGGAAATACATACCAATCTCATTCTCGATCTCTCTGATCTCACCAGGTACGGGTGCCCCGCCTGGGCTAGCAATGATGTAATTACCCGAGCTATCTCTTTCGATGAGGTCGTCTTCGGGGTTTGATTCCTCGGCCGGAATGTGTAGTGTTGATAACTGTTGGCTAGATATTGTGGAGGGGTGAGCGCCACGGCGCGAGCCTGGATGATGCGACTGAAACATCGCGCGGCGAGACGACGGAGCGGGACGTTGTGGACGAGAGGGTCCGCGGATATCCATGCTGATGTTGTTTACAACTCAGTGAAACAAGAGGGTGTGATGTTTGGGGTGAAATTGTTGCCTTTGGTGGTTTGTTTGGGTGAAGTTGAGGTGGCGCGTCTGGAGTGAGTGGCGCGCCGTATACTGTGCTTATCGATAGACGTATATACGCCAAAGCATTGGAGCTCGTTGACCGCAGAATCAAAATGCTCTATACCTTAACCTTCTAAGCAAGTGAGCATTTGACGTGTCTAGATGGCCTGTACCATTAATGACTTATATATACAGGGTTCGTCACGTGGAATATCCCAATTGTCGCGTTCATCGCGCAAACTCCATTTCCGCGCCTACAATTCCCTCTTCCTCTCTGGTCACTCGGCAATAGCAACTGCGCATACGACGCGTTTTACTATACTTCCTCTACCTGATCAGAAACATATAAAATGTCCCAGAAGCGCCCCGGCGCAGCCTCTTCCCTCCCACCACGACCGCCAGCGCCGCCAGATACCTCCTCCATCCACCCCACCCCCGAGCGCGACCCAACCCCGCCCCGAAAGCGACGGAGAGTAGACCACATGCCCTTTCTAGCATCTTCAGATCCCATTCGCTTCCCTATACAACCACTCAGCCGTTTCCAAGGCGCATCGGCAAGCATAAAACGACCTCGCGAAATAGCATATTTCTCGTACGACGAGAACCACGAATACAGGGAGGATGACTCCGGGATCAGCTACTACTGTCCCCCTCAGATAGGCGCAAACTTATGTGATGGCTTCGACACATTTCGGCATTACGAGGACAAGGAGGACCCGCACCTAAACAGCCTGCTGCGAACGCTTGTCAGCCAGGAGAAGAGAACTGGGGAGCGGGTGCAGGCAGACTTCGTGACCTGGCGAGGCATGATGACGAAGATCATGACAGCGCCCTTCGACATGTTCGCCGCATTCGACATGTTTGCAACCCTGCACGACGGGACCATCTACATTGAAGAAGACTTCGAGACGCGCGCCGCAGAGCGGGCTGCCGAATCCGCGGCAAACAGTCGTGGTCCTCCTCGACCTCCCAACCGGCACCAGCCAGACCACAAGATGATGACGTACTGGGGCTACAAATTCGAAACCCTATCCATGCTCCCCGACACCCCCGAAAACACATCCCAAGACTTCATCGCCAACCGCCCAAAAGCCCCCGTCTCCAACCACGCACAGCACTGCTCCATAGTCCGCACGGCCTTCGGGTCCAGCAGCCTCATCCTCGGCGGCGAAGTCGACGGGCTCTCAGACCCCAAGCCATCCAATCCTGACCTACCAATTCCCTGGGTGGAACTGAAAACCGCAGAAGAGCTCCCGCTCCGGCCACAGCACCGCGACATCCTCAAGTACGAGCGCAAGCTCCTCAAGTTCTGGGCGCAGTCCTTCCTCCTCGGCGTCCCGAAAGTCATTGTCGGGTTCCGCAGTAAGCAGGGCGTGTTGCGGAGCATCGACGTTTACGAGACGGGCAAGATTCCGGGGATGGTGAGGAGGGGGACAGCGTGTTGGGATGGCAATGTTTGTATTAATTTTGCGGCGGGATTTTTGCAGTTTTTGAAGGATACGGTGAAGGGGGAGGGCGTTTATAAGATCACGTTGAGGAAGAAGGGTGGTGTGGTTGAGGTGTGCAAGGTGCAGGAGAAGGGCACTGGGGACATACTGTGTAGCGAGTTCTTGGAGTGGAGAGGCAAGGGGAATGGGACTGGTGATGATGGGGAAGTGGGAGTGGATGATACCCAGCGTGAGAATGAGGGCGAGGGGAAGGTAGTAGATGATGGAATACGTGTAACACAGCATCAGGCGGTGCTGTCATAGTAGTTCGTTTTTCATGTCTTACATTCAAAGAAGATACCCAATTATTTGCACAATTTAACTACCTTGCCTTTCCCAAGCACAGGTGGTTCACATGACGTCAATGTGCTAATATGATCTTTACCGTTCTCGACTTGATCTGATCATACGAAAGCATGTTCTACGCATTCAGGCGACTTTCCACCAATTGATACTACCTAGGGAGTGCGTAGATTTATATTATCTAAACCTCCCTGCTGAAATTAGTCTAAACAGGATTTTCTTCCAATACTACAAGTAGTCTTTCAGCTCATTTACGGTGATATGAAGGCCTGGACTATACTTTCTAGGTCGCCGTTGACTGCTCTATTACATCCGAACTAAATACTTATGGTTCTAACTGAACATGTAAGACGTAACGGACGTCGACCTATGACTAAATGGTCAAGCAACATGGCAGGCACATCACAAATATATCCCTATTCTGCCTATCGTTGTGTGGAGAACAGTAGGATTGGAACCCGCGATGGAATATCTGGAGTACTTCATATCACGGCATTTACGCGTAGCTGGTCAGACCAGCTCGGAAATCCTGTCGTACGAATGTGTTGTGGGCGCATCTCTGCACTGACTAGCAACTCGCATTCAATAGCTACTGAAAGCTACCCTGAGGTTGTTTTGTATGTTCCTAGGTTATATATAGCCAGCAACTTCTCCTCACATTCAAGGATGCACGAAATTGCTTCGAGGTTTCTTTTCTATTATTGTACTATGACTATGTGTTTGAGTAATGAAAGGACCTATAGCTAAAGAACAGACCATTGATTTAGTACGTCTTCCTCTCCTCTACCAGTCTACAGTATCCAACGCACTCTATCATGTTGTAGGTTCAATTGAACGTCAAGGCGTTGATCCCCGAATCTCGGTGAGTATCTGAGAAGATCGAAATGAAGGATCCTGTCCACATGCATTGGACATGTTAACAACTGTGCGCAGATACCAGGCGCTGACGGATGTTGTGGCTAGAAAATCATAGAGCGCTACAGCGCTCTAGAGGCACTTCTGCGGGTAGGGTAGATTCGGTGGACTCCTTTGCGTCTCAGGGTCAAGGGCCATCTAAGATCGAACAGTCTATGCCTAGGGGGTACCTGTCCAGTTCTGTCGTTCTATTATCACTCAGCAATTAAAGATCAGCCAAGCTCTTCGCTACTGGACTCGGCGGTCTTGCTGGAATGGACAGTGATGACTCGCTCGCGGCTTTCGTGGAAAATCGCGGAGCTGTTTATCTGAACAGGTCTCTGGCGGCGGCGTCAAGCTCAGAATGAAATACGCAATACCACCTTCCTCGAATTTGTAAATGCCTGCCATGTCCATCTTCAACGTAGCATCAACGTCCAGCTCGAAAGGCGGAGCTTCGGGCTCAAGTGCAAGCAGACGCGCGATTTACGTATCCTAGCCAGTATCCAGGGGCTGGATTACGCTGCTGTAGACTTCAGAGAACCGGCGAACTCGGTGGCGTGTTATCGCGAGTGAAGCGCCAACGATTAGCGCCCCTGGAAGCCGCGTGTAACCTGTTGTCACTGTGAGGCATGAGCTGGTAGACCAAGGCAATTTCAAAATTGTTCTTCGGTGGCGGAGGTTAGCTGGAATCGGAGCGTCTTTTGAACGCTGTCCAGGGAGTTGAGGATGGGAAAGCAGTGAGAGATACGATTCGAGCAATAGACAGCGTCCTGGAATAGAGATGTCTCGAAAGTGATGTCTTACCTTGCCTTACCTGACTTGTTCGCTGAGCGTACGCATGGTACTATCAGGGCTACGCCGAGGATAGCACGCGGCGGCTGAGCTTCGTGCGATATCCTGTATTGCCTCAGGACATGGGATGCGCCGTCAGAAGAGGCTCCCTGCCATCAGATTTGAACCTTGATGTCTGGCTTTTTGCTCTCGCGCACTTGGTCGCGGGCCGCGCGGGCGGTGCCTCTCCCACAAACAACAACACACTCGCACTCCCCACCCACACCGCAAGTGTCGTTCAGCTCTTTTCGTACCACTTCCACCCTGCGCCTGCTCTCGCTTCCAGCTGGTCGCCTCCTCTGCTCCTTCTTCTGGCTCCAGAGCTCGACAACCTCCGCAAAGCTCTCTCCACCTTGCCGCCCCGCGCCCGCGACCATGCCCGTGCCGAGCATCTACCGCCTCCGCACTATCTGGGGGCCGATCGCTCACCAACTCGACGCTATCCGAGTGCGAGAGACGAACACCTGGAGAGCGCATCTGGCGGCAGCGATGTACGGTCCGGGCCAGCCCAACATGGGTCCGCTCCACCAGCACTTCTTGGCAGTGACCGCCGTGGTCCGTCAAGCGCAGGCTTGGGTAAAGGCAGTCGTCTTGATAGATCTCGGCCTTGATTTGATTGCGGTGCTGGGTGTTTTCTTCCACTTGGTGCGCATAGCCATTATATGTGAATTCCTTGTATGAGACTGTCAATTACCCTCAATTACGAGCGCGCCATGAAGCTTTGCTAACATTAATTGCGTCTCCTAGATCGGCATGTACTTGTTCGTCTGCGAGGAGTTGGGCCGTGACGACGTCGATTGAGTGGGAGGAGAGCGTTGAATGGAGGGGGATCAACAGTCCGGAGAGGGGGGTGAGGGTTTGGAATACTTCGGCTCCAAGGCTCAGTTTTAATGGAGGCCATGGGTTTACGAACGAGTTTGGCGTTTCCGGTGCAAGCGCCCTTCTTCTCGCTTCAGAATTTGGGACGACAGGAACGAATTAAAAGCCATTGCGAAGACTGAAAGCAATTCTTTAGCGATGACCTTACTGCTTGACTGTTCGTGATTTGAACAGATATTGAAGCTTAGTCTCAATTTTTGACGATAAGTCAAGATCATCTGGATAATAACCTTGGGGACTCGAAGACTTCGGCTGTTTGGGCTCGCCCAAAGTCCAACCGTGAAAGCATATGCGGGGCGCGTCTTGCGGCAGCGTATGTCCATAGATTGACAAGTATTCTGTTCGATCTTCCACAGGTGATGAAGACAAGACTTTGGCTTTGCCGTCACTGAGGAATCGCACCAGCCGATGGTTATCAAGCGAATTGATGCTGTCACTTGGTGTGCTGTTGTAAATGAAGGCAGGCAAACCCAAAAAGAATTTGCCACCTACGGAGTCGAACGGGAGGCAAAAAGAAACTTCTTCGAGGAGAAAACTTTCCTATACACCAGTTAGCCATCTGTCCTCAATAACTTACATGGGAATAATAGTACAGAAATCGATTTTATAGACTAGATGCTCTGTACGGTAGCATATTACGCCCTAGAAGACGAGGGTAAGCTGCGAAGACTGGCTACCTGCGGGGCTTTCGATAGCACGAGTGAAATCGACTCTTCCGGGCTGCTGGGGTTACTTGAAGCTATTCGGACCTGAGAGACAACCGCAGGACTGTCACTTCTCGCTATCAGTCTCGGCGCTCGGTGCTTCTTTGATGCGCGTGGTGGCGCTCTCACGGGCTTGAGAGCTTTGGTTTGGCGCGCTTGGCCAAACAATGAGCGGCCGACGCCTCGAGACGCCTCTCTCCTCCACGCAACGCTCGCCCAGCAGACCAAAGGCAAGATATTTCTCTTGAGAGCCGTCAGGTATCTCTTTGCTGTTACTGACTTTGCTTCGATAGTCGTCTAGCCCATCCCGAGATCCCGCAGATGCCAGCGCCATCGAACAGGCAAGATTGGCAAACGCACATCGACAGCCTTCGACGCGCACCCGTGACGAATAGAGATGGAGCACGACTTTATCGCGTCCACTCAGCGGAGGAGAGATTTGCTAACGGCGTGAACAGGTAGACACGAGCCGCGTACGACAGCAACATGCCGGTTCGGCCGCCGGATAGGTGAGGGTGCCTTCAACGAGAAGCAAAGGCCGACCATGGAATTTGAGGACCACACGGGCTTGCGATGAGTCAAAACACGAGTGGAAGAGCCTCATCCGATGCAGAGCAGGCTTGTCGGCGATTCCACTGTGCGTGTCATGCTTCCAGTACAATCTGCCTTCGGTGACCGACTACGAGAGGAGATGACCCACAGTCGAGCAAGATACACACGCTGCTGGCAATGACACCAAGGCTTCTCTCTGCCTTCTGACGATCGGCGTCCTTCGTGAGAGGTTTGGTCCTCGGCCTCTTGACGCCAACGCAACCAAGTCACGACCACCATTTAGAATTCGGGGAGGGAAGCTGAATATCCTCTTTGACAACTTATCATATGGCCAAGGCGATTGCTAATGGATGGTCGCCAGCGCATGCTGCCGTCGATCGCATTTAACCCTCGATCCGCACTATACGTCCCTCGAGTGCCGCCGAGTGACACTTCACTATTCGAGATACGAATAGGAACCTCTGCAGATGCACACAAGACTCGACTGGACAGAGAGAAGCCAACAGCGAAGCCTCCAATCGAATCCTGCAAGGCGCTGCATCACGGAACAATGGATACCAGTCATGGAGGATGCGGGCACAAGGATGTCTATGGAGCTTAAAGATCCATGGACAAACATTATATGTCGTCGGCGGGAAGCGTGCAATCCCCGGACTCCCGCTGGTGGAAGCGCGGAAACAGCGCTAAGGCTCTGACGAGTCGCCCCTTTCCAGGCTTACCTAAGAAGCGAGCTGGAAGTGTCACAGAGACCTAAATTTCGCCATCCAGAGAAGGCAGATCGGAAGGTTTGGGGGAGGAACAGTTCAGTGGTCAACGGAGCTTATGAAGTGGCTTCAAGACTTGGTGGATCCTGACACCGTGGAAGAACTGCTTGCCAGACATTGCCTGCTGAAAAGCGTGCTCTTGTATCGATGTACAAATCTGGGAGGGGTCCATGCTTGTAACGGCATTGTTGGTGAAGGCAGTCATCTACTCGTGGTTTCTGGCCAGAAGAAAGGTGCCATAGGACTCTAGTGATGAAGATGTCCATTTAATAGAAAGCTAACCCGGCCCTTGAGCGATACTGTCCTGTAGTATAGAACCATCTGCATTTAGACCTCATAATGCGTATGTGATGATCGAGGTGAGCAACCGCGTTTTCGAGTACCAAGTCTAGGTGACTACACTTTGATTGACGGTGGAATGGCTACCTCTGTGGCAGTTGGACCGCCGAAAGGCTGCGTATGATGCTCAAAAACTTGGGCAATGCACGTAATTGGCGTCACGGCGGCTTCGAGCATCAGGAATCCTGCCTAGAGCCGGCGACGTGCCCGAAAGAAATGGAGTCTCATCGCAAAAGCCTCGCGGGCGTGGGCAAGCCGTTGTTCGTATGTCAAGGGCTGTCAGGGCGACGGTCGTTTGGCACTGTCGTCGCACCCGCCTTCCGTCCGAAGTTCTGCAATACCACATCTTCGGGAGTGCCTTCTTACAGAGGAATCTCAAGTCCAGTCAGGGAATGACGCCTATGCTGCTGTTTGCAGGCATTACGTCTAGCAGCCGACGTACTCGGACTGACCGGTGCTGCACCTCTGGGCACTTAGAGCGGCATGGTGCTCCCGGCCCAGCCCACCCAGTTTCGGCAACGCCCCAGCCACCCCGCGTCCCAGTGATTCTATGCGGTTCTTCCAAGCCCTGCTAGTGGATAACGGACCCACCCGTTCACCGCTAGCGCAGGCCTGTGCGCAGTGTAGAGCTCGAGGGCGTTTAGACGGAGCTTCAATCTTCGAACATATCCACGAAGCCATTTAGAATAGCTAGAGGCGCACAATAAAAGCTGAGGAGGATGAGCTCGACGAGGGCTTTCACCTCGTACCATTTTTGAGTCAATCCGCCCAGGCGTTGTTGAGATGTGGTGAGCTGGTGGTGAGGTTCGCCGCAGCTATTACTCAACACTTCCTCTTCATCATCTTGAGCAAGTTCGTGACTGCCATTTCTGCCGTTTTTCGTGCCTAGGGCCATTTATTCTGGCCAATCGAAGCCTCTGAGGCCGTCTTCGAAGGCCCGAGAAGAGCACGTTTGCAGCGCGAGCCGTTTTGTAGGGGCGCGTGGGCTGTTTGATCGCGCCTTCCCTCACCGGGCAACACAGGTACTTAAAGCCCACCTCTTCTCCAGCTCCCCCATCTCTTCTCCCTCCACCACACTTCTCCTCTTGCAAGCTCCAATCCTTCTTTTGCCTTGACAACCATTTGGCTTGACACCAGTCAGCATACCTACACCATCTCTTTACTCCTTCACACCATTCGTACAAGCATTGCTTCGCTCCGAACGCGCCATGTCTTCTGCAAACACGCCGGAGGCATCGCCTGTCACCGTCTATCGTGACGAGGGCCCGCCTTCTTCTTCAAGTCCCCCCATCTACACGTCTTGTCCGTCTGCCACGTCCCCGGGTATGACCGACGTCACCTACTATTCACCCCATGTGAGGCCCGACGGTAGTATCGCTCTCAAGTCAATCTGCACCACGGCTGTTCGAACCCCGCCGAATCCTCCGTCGTCCAAGACATACACGCCACCTCCCCAGGGCGGTGTGTTCCTCAATGAGATCAAAGACTTCTCTCGTTACATCCTCATCACCAAATTTCCCGACGACGAGGTCTTCCAAGAGGAGAATGAGTCCCTGAAGGTTGTTGAGGAGACGATGAAACGCGTAAGTACTCTCATCTCAGTCGCGTCGAGCTGTCTGCTGCAACCATGGCACGCGTTGTTGCCCACCATGGCTTCTTGTCCTTTAAGGTTGCGACCTCTGCGTCGCTACCGAACTTTGTGTCTTTCGTTCGCATCACTCACTCCATTTAATGCGTCGCTCTTCTTCCTTCATTCCACTTTAACTCTTCCTCATTCCGCTGCATTGTTCAAGTTCCGCTGCGTCGCATCGCACATCAAGACTGACCTTCCAACAGTACAGCTGCTTCGACAAGGCGGTCCCTCTCAACTCCGGTGGCCAGGTTCGCGTGCACTTCGACGATCTTCGTGACGCGCAAGAAGGCGTTCGCGTTCTGCGTTCAGCTGGATACGGTGTCGACTTCATCACTCTGCGCGACTTTGCCCGTGCCAAGTTTCAGGACTCTAGTTCAGTCAATGAATTTGAGGGCCAGATTGGTCTGAGCATCCACGTCGAGCCCTCCCTGTTGACGGACCAGCTCAACTTGCTGTACGAAGTGCTCTACCACGTGTGCGGTCTCTACGGAGACGCTCGCATCGCCGGCTTTCAGCGCGTGTCTAACAAGAACGACTACACCTTTCGTGTTGAGTTCTACTCCATCGACGCGGCGCAGCGAGCTGCATCTGGCCTCATGAGTGCTCCTCCTCGCGGAAAGATGGATAATGTAAGTACCTCTTCTTCCATCATGATGACCAATACTGACCCAGACCAGGGTCGATTCGACTGGTGGATTACCAATAGCCGCCCCTGGATCCCGGGTTGCGGATCATCTCCAGATGACAATCCCCCTAAGGATCTGGAGCGAGGCCGATATGTTCCACGTTGCGTTTCGATCAACGATCGTCGTCATGACAGCATGAATCGTGTCCGTCGTGACAAGGTCGCGGACGGCAGTGACGTTCGTACTACTGTCATGCTCCGTAACATTCCAAACAAGTTGGACTGGGTAAGTCACAAGTCTCTTCGCTTGTCGAGATGTTTAGCTGACTC